CACAGGTATGGGATTAGCAAGGGAGATTTTACCCCTACGGGCAAGGATTGCACAGCCTAATGAGGTGTTGTGTTGTTGTTGTTGTTGCTGTTTAAGGGATTGTGTAGTGCTAAACCCTGGGTGGCTCTGCTCTCCCCATCATCTCCTCAGCTCATCTCCTTTCCTTGCAAGGCCCCTCTCTGCCACTCCACTGCCTTGCATTTGAGAACGATCACAGTTCCCGGAGCCTGCAAAGTGTGACAGGTGCTTGAGCTCTGGTACCCCTGCAGGGATACCGCTGGGCGGCTCCGTCATCCAGACCCCTTTTTGGGGGGAGGGGTGAGTGGGATGCAGCTTGTTCACCTGCTGAATTCACAGCAGAGGTGAGGCGGGGGATTTCACGGTTCTCTCTTGAGGTGCTTCCCCCGATGGGCAGAAACACCGCTTACAGAGAGGTTTCCTGTTGGAAGCACTCTAATTCCTTAGCCAGCCTCTGAGGAAACAGCCCCACTCAGATTACACTGCCTGTAATGTGAAAGTTCATTTGGCGTGGTTTTGTGAATGATCTTCAGGACTTGGAAATCTGATTTTTCAAACATGAAAGTCTACCTGAATCATGTCTCTCCAACACATAACTGGCTTTCAGCTCTTTTCTCTGACAAGCTAGAATGTCTGTCTTTGTCACATCCTTCTTCCTTCGATACATTTTTCCTTGGCAAAATAGTGGGGAAACAGAGTAGTGGGGAAACAGAGAAACATGTCAAGGGGAAGGTGGTAGCATCTGGTCCCCCATAAACTTCTGTGATGGAGGCAGGGGGATCAGTCACAATCAGCACCATGTCTGGACATCTCTCACTCTTCCTTGTCACCAGACGTTCTCTGCAGGCCAGATTCAAGGATCCCCTGGACTCTTCCCCGTTGTGAGACTCCTCCGCAGCCCCTCTGTGGTTTGTCTGGCCCTTCCCTTTTCCAAGGGCTTCCCTCTGCTTTCCTCCTCTTCCTTTCCAGCCCACGACCACCAAGAGTGGGGTCCCAGGTCTCTCCTGGTAGCAAGCCCTGGAACACATGCCCACGGTTACTGCCCCGGCTGCCCCAGCTGCGGGGTGTCTCCTCATCGCCTCTGCCAGCTGGAGGAAGGGTGTGCATGTCTCCTTCTGTCAACTGCCCACAGCATCTGCATCATTTCCAGACTTGGTTAGGGTTGGATTTGCTTTGTTCTGCCGTGGAAAGGACTGCGTGTGGCAGGAAGGTCTGCTCAGTCTGTGCATGCGCACACAGGCACACAGAGGCGCCGATTGCAGCAAAGGTTGTTCCATTGCCCCCAAGGCCAGGCTGGGGCTGGACCGACAAGATGGGGCTGCTTGTGTTCCCCCCCCCCCCAGTGGGGCTATGGGGAAGGGCTGCCTTGTGTGATGGGGGGGGGGGGAGACCAACAGGCTCCTCTCCTTTTGCCAGAAGCACCTCCTCAAGGAGTCTCAGCCAAGCCAGCCTGGCCCAGCTGCTTCTCTCCAGAAGGAAAGTGCATTTATGTGTCACACGGATCAAAGAGGAACAATGGGGAAGGTTTAATTTTGGAACCGGGCCCTCTGAGGGGGGCGGGCTGTGTTTTCATCTGTTTTCCTTTACATCTTTCTCCGAGACTTTTAGGAAGGGAACTCAACCCAGTCCTGGATTCCCTGAGCTTCTTGGCGGCCTCCAGCTTTAATCCTTTTTTCCAGAGCTCCCACCTGGTTTCACTGCAGCTCTGGCGGCTGACCAGACCACCTGCGTGTCCCTGGAGCTTGGCCTGGCTCATCTGTGCCGCCACCGCCCTGGCCTGGGTCCCTGCGCATGCACGCTCCCTCGCTCTCTCTCTCTCTCTCTCTCTCTCTCGGGCCTCCGTGGAGGCACTTAGAGGAGAAATCTGAGCCACAGTGGGATGCGTTCTGGCTGGCTGTTAAACTTTCATCCAGGCACTGCAGTTTCGTCGGGCTCCATGGAAAGAGCGACATCTGCCTTGGACATGGTGGGAAGATTACCAGCTGGCTTGCCGAGCATTGTGGAAAGAATAACCTTTGCCTTGGAGGGGGCCAGGAGCCCGGAGCAGGGCCCAGCCGTGACCGTGACAAACTTCCACCAGAGCTGGCCAGGTAGGAACCTGCCCTGCTTACTCTCCGGGCGATGGAAACGATTCTGACAAGGGCCCCAGGATGGGGAAGGCGCTCACATTTCTCTACCTGTCTGGCGGATGAATCAGGCCAAGATGTTCTATAGAGTGCATTTCCTGTTCTGAATGACATGATTCATGCCTGAGAGGTCCACGCTCCATCTGGAATCCTGTTTATTCATTCCGTGCATTCTTCAGCTGAAGATGGCCCCTGGTCTTGGGCAAAGCAAGCGTAATCCATCACTCCTTTCACCTGCCAGTGAGGAGCTTGGCAAGACATCCTGGCCAGGAGTGACAGCTGCAGGTAAAGCGATCATCATCATCGTCATCATCGTCACCACCCTTCATGGCTCTTGGCTGCCCTCCTCAGAAGACATCATCTCAGGGACATGGGGCCTGCCAGGAGGGCTCCCTAGCCGTTGGCCGGCCGCCTGCCTCCTTTCTCCCTCGGAGGAGGTTCTAGGCGGGCAGAAGCAGCCTGGCCGTGGCTTCCGCTCCTACTCCAGGGAGAAGAAAAAGGGACTCCCGGCTTCCTCCTGTTTGCTCCAGAGAAGGCTGGCTCGCTTTTCCATTTGTTGGGCACACAGGGAAGAAAAGGAGGTCTCGCTCCCCAAAGCAGCAGCCGCAGCAGCGGCAGCAGGACAAAGAGGAGGCTGCTGAGTTCATGGCTTGCCAGGCTGGCCCTTCTGGCCCTCGGCCTCACAGCTTGCAGTGCTCTGGCCAAGGTGGAGGTGGAAAAGACTGCCGGAGTGGGATCACCCCGTGGCCCCTGTGAGGACCCTCCGCTGCTGCCACACCAGACCTCTTAGCAGCCAGAACTGGCTGCCTTTCTGTGCCCTCAATTACGGGAGAAGAGGGTCTGGCCAGGACACCTGGAAGGCTGCTTAAACTCCCGCCCAACCAGCAGGGGACTTGGCTTCTCCATCACCATTTCTTTGGTCAACTGAAAACTGAACACCAGAATTTTCATTACAATGTAAACAATACTCATACTTTGCCAACGGAAGTTTAGATAACTGTTAACTAACCTCCCCACACACACACACACACACACACAACCTGTTGTGGTTGAGTGACCACCTCGTCTGCTCTCTACCTGCCCTATGGAACTGGGGATGTGAACTGGTGGGTCGTTGGAAGGCAAGGGTGGCGCAGCTTTCCCGGACTCAGCGCCTGTTGCGGCAGCAAGAAGCTTCCTATGGATGTTTGCTGGTTTTGTTTTTTGTTGTTTTTGCAGGGAAGAAGAAGGACAAACCGCAGAGCCTTTCACCCTCTCCAACACTTCCTTGTTTGTCCCTCCATTTAATTTGATCAGAAATGTGTGGAACCAAATCATCCCCGCCCTCCCCTTTTAAAAAAAATGCAACACAGTTTCCACTGCTTCTTTTTGATCCATTCACATGGTTTTAGGCAGCCGGCACCAGGTGCTTCATCTCCGGCTGCAGAAAAGTGACATTTAATTAACAAGTGTGGCCAGGAAAACACCAACGCCCAAGGCGCCTGCGTCCCTTCTCAGATCTATGAGGGCTTCTCGGCAGGGCATTTGGGGGCAGTTACACACGCCTGGGCAAAACCGCCTTCCCAAACCAGCTCTGCTGCCCCTCTTGCTCTCCCCCCCCCGGCTGGGCCTTGCTTCTGGGGCGGCAGCGGGGAGGTGGGGGAGAGCGAGCGTTGTCTCTGGATGGAGGCCAAGTCAGTTCTCGGGCTCGGATCATGGGGCGGCCTGCGGCTGGTGAAGCAGTGGGCCTTGCCCCCCCCATTCAGCCCCCCGGGGACGTGCTCACCGCTCATCACCGCATCGCCACTGTTCCTCATCTTTGCCCCCACCTCACATGTTCCTCTAACAGCGTTCTGTGGGACAGCGGCTGGTGGGGGGGGATGCTGTGGCCTTGATGTGGGGCGGGAGGGAGGGTTCTTGAAGGCGCTCTTCACCTTTTGAGTGAGGCTGCCGTATGTGGACGGGATCTGGGGGTCCGGCTCCAACTGCAACTTTATGCTGCAAATCCAAGGCTGCCCCTTTCCCTTTGGAGGAAACCAGAAAGGGCTCTCCCAGTTCCTTTGGGTGGGAGCTGCTCACACCTTGGCCAGTGCCGTTGACCTTTTTATTCTCTACTGAAAAGTCCAAAAGGTTTCCCTTTTCCTCACAGGCACTGTTTGGTGGTTTAACACCCCACCTCTGAGGTTGGGCAGGTAGTGGCTGTTCCCTGACCTTGACCTCTGTGGACTGACAGGCAGGAGAGAGAGAGAGGTTGGGACTCCTGCATGCAAAGGAAGGGACTCTTTGTGGCAAGGGAGATATGTAATGGCGTGTCCGAGGGTGGCCCCTAGGAGGGGGCGGCGTGGCTTTGCCGTGAGGCCAGGTGAGGGTCACCGAGGGATGCCAAGGTGCCGAAAGAAGCAAACGTTTTCACAAGAGGTGCTGGGAAAGGATCAAAAAGTAACGATGCTTCCGGGCACTGCCAAAAAAAAAAAAAAATTGATGAAATACCCTGAGTTGTCTCCGCTTGGCTTGGCTTTCCGTGCTTCCCTGTGTGACATGCTTCACACCTCCACGGCCACCTCGGTCTGAGTTCTTCCTGGCAGCCCTCGCTCCTTCCGCTCGCACAGGCTGTGAATTCCATGTAAAGCTGAGAGTGACAAAACGCGGTGCTAAATGGGAGCTGTGACCTGCCGGGGGAGCCGACGGGGCCGGGGGGGGCTGCCCCCCCCTCTCTCTCATTTAGCACTTTCCTGTTTCTGTATGGTTTCTCTCTCTCTCTCTCTCTCTCTCTCTCTCAATCTCTCTCTCAATCTCTCTCTCTGTCTCTCTTAAATGGCTTGTTCCTTCTTCAGCCTTTTTAAAATCTCACTTTCATCATTCTATTTTGGCAACCAGGTCAAGGCTGGCAGATTTCCACACCAACTGTCAGGCCTCCTTCCAGACCCTTACCAGCTGCCCCGGGGAAAATTACCAGGCCTGCTTGGGCTCCTACACAGGTCTGATTGGTGAGTGTCTTTGCTGGTTTCTTCCCAAGGTGGGGGTTTCTCCCACCAGCCACAGAAACGTGTCTCAAGCTGCAGCGCAGACACTTCCTGCAGGGGTGGGAAAGCCACGTGGAAGGTGTTGGGTGACTGCCGTGGTTTGGGAGCCCATGGATGCTGCTTCCTCCATGTACTTCCAAATACTGGAGGATCCTCCTCCCCAGCATCCCCACAGAAATGATGATGGTTTGTAGGTGCAATGCCCTCCAGGCTCTCTCTGCACACACCCTGGCCAGCCCCGGTGCCCTCTGACTCAGCAGACAGCCTTTGAAAGCATCCTAGGCCCCATCCTGAATCGTTCCTGGGCCACCTCTGTGACACCGGAAGGGTCCCCCATTCCCAAACACAGCTTTTGGCCACAGACCCTCAGGGGCTGGGATGATGCTGAACTGGCCGCCAGGGTAAAGGTGGGCGCCCCTGCTTCCCGCACACTTGCTGGCCGCTGGTAGCCTCAAGCTAGGCCTTCCTTTGTCTCGGACAGGGCTTGACATGACACCCAACTACGTTGACTCAAGCGCCACCAGCTTCACTGTGTCTCCGCCGTGTTCCTGCCGGGGCAGTGGCAACATGGAGGAGGAATGCGAGAGGTTTCTGAGGGACTTTACAGAAAACCCATGTCTGAGTAAGTCACTCCCTAGTCCCCAGAAGGGCAGAGCCCACCAGACAGAATGGACCTGGCGGGAAGAGAGGAAGGGGGCTGGGTGCGGAGAACATAGGGCTTCTTTTAGATCACCCTTCCTGTTGAGGGGGTGGAGGGGAAGAGGGAGAGAGGGTTCGGGGAGGGGGGTAAACAGTTGGCCCCTGCCTTTGGACTCCTGCTCAGGAGAAGGTATGATGGCAGAAGGTCTGGTCCTGAACCTGGTGGGTGGCTCCCATCTCGTGATGGGTCCTTTCTTCTTGGTGTGTTGACTCAATCAAAGTGCTTTTTCTTTCTCTTTTGCCCAGAAAATGCCATCCAGGCCTTTGGCAATGGCACAGACATCAGTTTCTCCCCAAAGGCCCCCCCACTGCCCCCCATCACCCTGCCTCCCAAAGTGGAGAAGACGCCTCCTTTGCCGTATGATATCAATGACAGCAACGTTCTCTACGACACCAGTATGATCACCACCTGCACCTCCATCCAGGTAAGGCCACTGCCTGGGTCTCCCTTTGCTCCTCCTGGCAGTCCTGCCCACGGCAGCAGAACGACCTGTGAACGGCGCGGAGGCTATAACCCCAAAAAATCTGGGCTTTTTGGATCCAGGATCGCAGCTTCCTCTTGCCTGGATGCAGAACTTGGAAAAAAGGGCCATGCTCTCTGAGGAATTCTGGGACTCGTAGTCCAAGGAAGTAACTTCCCCAAGATCTGCTGAGATGAGATTTAAATCCAAGTAGTTGCCTAGACATCAGTAATACCAGAGAAGGTTCTAGGAGTGATCCTTAAGCAATGACTTTATGGGCTTTCGGACGAAAGGCCATGAATGGCCCAAGAGATGTGCAGTAGATTCCCCAAGGGCCTATCAGGCCCCTCTGAAACGCTCTCCCTTTGGGACACAATGGTTGGCGCAGTGGATCAAGGGAACGCTATAAATCTCTTATATCTTTATTTCATCAAGGCTTCCAGCAAAGGCCCTCCAGGATATGCTTGCCGACGCTCCGGTTCAGTTTGGATTGGCTCTGGTGCCGGCCTGTGTGCTGCTAAGGGGCTTTGTCGCTGGCTGGGCAGTGGGCCATCTCCAGAGTGGGCTTGGCGGTTGTCCATTCGGCCGGAGAGAAATGGCCAGGGACTCGGGCGGTGTTCTGGGGCCGGCTGTGTCTCCTTGGCTGTGCTGTTCTCCAGCTTGCTGGGCTTCCCAGAATCCCACCAGCTCATAATTTCCATGTTGGCGTACAAAACCATTTTTCCCCTTCCCGTAAAAGAAATTTTAGTAAATTTGTGGTATATATCTTCGCATTTTTACACATCTGCCTCAACAGCTCAAACATGTTTATGAGACTCTTTCAAATGTATTAACTTTTAGTTGTGTGCATTTATGTGCATATAAGAGTCTGATGCTCACATTTTCCCCCCTGACGATGGGAGTTTAAAAGGCACATGTGCTGTTTTGTCAGTACTGTAGTTTGGCAGACTCTGAATGGGATAGGTTCATAAAAAGGATTTGATTAGTGCAAATGTCTTTCCCATCCCCAATGATAATTTCTTTTCTCGCTCAGCCTTAAGAAGTGGAAACCCTTCTGCTCATCCATCCATCCTAGAGTTCTGCCCTTCTTTTAGGGCAAGCCTCCTCAAGGATTGGGATTCCAGCCGCTGCTTTTCTGCTTAGCCTTGGAAGGGCTTTTCTTATCTTGGCCATAGAAGAGGGGAGAGAGAGAGAGAGAGAGAGAGAGAGAGAGAGAGAGAGAGAGAGAGAGAGAGACTATCTGTTTCAGGAAGAACCTGCTGGGGAAAGCTGGATCTCTCTCTCCACCCCCCCTTGTCCCCCCACCCCAGGACAAGAGGCTGCGTGGTTCAGAATGCAGAAGAGGCAAGAGGAAGGCAGCCAAGAGCGAGGCTGCAGGAGAAGCCCCTGGCCCTCACGGTGCGGCCCTTGTAAAGAGCTCCAAGCCAGGATGCAGACCCTGGGGCAGAAGGGGGCGTTTCTGCAGGGTGCATGGTCATGCCAGGAGAGCTTGCCTCCTCTTCCCCCCTCCCCCTCCCCCAGTTGCCCTCCCTCCTGCCATGAACTCTCTGGAGGGGCCCTTCCTGCCACGGAGGCCTTGCCCGCCCGCCCGCTGTCTTTTGCCGCCTCCTCCGTCGCTGCCATCGCTTGCAGCAGGAAAAGAATCCCTCCTCAGCCTGGCGAGCAGATGCGAAGGCGGCAATGTCACCCTTGGGCAGCTGCTAATTAGATCCGGCATGGCTGAGAAATTACATCTTATGTTTCTTGTTACCTCTGTGTGAGACAATCAGCAGCTCAATTTCATGCTAGAGTTGCAGCGCATCAGAGGTCTGACACTGCTTTTGTGGGCACCGTGGTAGAATTGGTCTCTTCCGAGCTGGCAGGCAGCCGGGTGGCCGTGGAGGAAGAGCACCTGGTCTCCCCTCCTGCCCCATTAGCTGCTCACATTCAGGGGCTGCAGTGCAGAAGGGGGCATGGGCGACCACAGCTGGCCCACCGTGGGCACAGCTTGTTCTCTGGGGCCAAGGCCTGGCATCGCTCGGGCACAGCCCCGTTGGGTACAGTCCAGAACCAGGACTGGGCAAAACCTTGGCTGGGACGCAGAAGAAGCTTGAAGGAGTGGCCTGCCTGTGTGGCTCCCCACCAAGCCTCCATGGCCAAGGAGGGGACTGGACTCAGGATCTGCCCTCTGCAACCCCCAAATCAGAAAAGCTGGACGTTAACTTAAGCTTTCACAGTAGCAACAGGAAATGTATCCTTATGACACCAGAATAAATAACCCCACCACACACCCACATTCTGGCTCAGGGGGTCTGTCGTTTACTGAGGGAAAAATCAGGTGTCCACACCATCAGGGAACGGTGAGGTCCGGAAAGTGCCCGCTCTGAACAAAGGGGAGGGTGCTGAGAATGGGCCTCGGATGCAGGATGGCCGTCACCCGCCTCCCTTCTTGCCTGAGAGGTGGGCACGGCCAGACCCAGCCCTCGCTTGGCCGGAGCTCTTCTCTGGAACCGCCCCCACCCGGCAAAGCCAAGCGAGACGTACGGGGGCTTCCTGTCACATGAGAGGATGTTTTGAAGGTTCTGCTTTCAGCACTCTGTCCATGCCCAAGAGTTCTCCTGGGATCAGGGTATCATGACTGGCAGGGCCCCCAAGAGAACCGTGCATGACTCCTTCTCAGTTGGAGGCATGAGAACAGCCCCCCCCAACCCCTGTTTCTGATGGGAGCCAGGGGCTGGGGATGTTTCTTTGGGCATCGGGCGTCCTCTTCCTCCTCTCCCCATCCCCCACCACCTAGGAATCCCTTGAGGCATCCCAGGAAGCAAAGGGCGGAGCGCCTTCCTTCTTGTTTCCTCCTTCAAACCAATTCTGACAGCCCTGTGGCAGGAAGCACGCACCCGAAGGGAAGGGGCCGTCTGCTCCAGCCATCTGAGCGCATGGGCGCCTCCCGCTCCGTCTCCCTTCCTGCAGGCAGGTGCCCTGTAATTGCCGGCCTGTGCGGTGCATGCAAATGGGTCTGGTGTGCCCTTGCCCGGGCCGGGCCCAAGGACGGCAGCCAGCGCTGGGCGGCTTGGGCAGGGATGCTGGCCAGAGGGGTCGGGACCCCTGGGGGCATAGAGGGACTCAGAGCACACGTGGCTGGCTGGCTGGCTGTGGTGGGCCCAGGGGGCAGACCCACGGAGAAGACCTCCGAGGAGGGGAGACCTCCCTCTCAATCCATGCATGAGGCTAAGGACAGGTGCCGAGCCTTCGCTTCTGCTGTTTGGAGGGGGGGCAGCACTAAGAGAAGTGCATGGGGGGGGAGAGATCACTTTCCCTGCTGGTGCTCCCCCCTCCCGACTCCTTGGCCTTGCTTTGCAGAGGGAGCCCCCCTGTCCCCAGATAAAATTGCCGCCTATCAGAGAGATTTCTTTTAAGATGCAAGCAACAACGGCCCCTTTTCTGGTTCTCTTTGACTGGAGGCTCTCCTCAGGGAGGCCCATCCGTTGAGATTCAATGACCTTTTTGGAACCTGAAGTTAATCTCCAGGTTAAAAAGAAGAAGAGGATGATGATGATGAAAGAAAGAGCCCCCCCTCTTGCGTGATTTCACGCAGAATGGTTCAGTATTGTTCTGGCCACTCTTCCTGGAAATGTCTGCTGATTCCAGAATGGAAGAAGGGCTTTTGATTTAGGGCAGGAACAACATGCTTGCAGAAAGCCTGCAGTGAGTTCTCGTTGTGGGTTACCTGCCGTGGGAGGAGAAACCCCTGAAACACCCCCTGTTTTAATGCCTGCGTCTCACATGGCTGGCTGGTCAGGCGGGCAGCTGAGCGGCCCGTTGGCGGCAGCAGAGGTGGCAACGGAGGGTTTGTGTGTGTCCGCCTGGCCCTGGCCGTTCAGGGAGACGATCCGGTGCCGAGCCCTGACATGACCAGCTGGGTTCCCACACGTGGGCTTTGTTCTCTCTCTACAGGAGGGAGGAGCGCAGGCGAACAAGTCCCACGAGCACAGCCTTTGCTTCTCGGAGGTCAGTGCCCGCTTGGATCCATGGCAGCAGAGGGGCCACACTGTCCTTTGTGTGTGTGTGTGTATGGGGGGGGGATTTCCCTTATGGCACTTGTGGGCCCCACAGGGTACCTTGCAAGCTCTCTCAGGACGGCCAAGGGACACACTCACCACCCCAAGGGTTAGGCACTGGACTCCCACAGGACCCTCCTGATCTGGGCGAGGGGGATCCTGTGGCATCACAAAAGCCCCCTCCTCTTTGGCTTAGAGGAGGGAAACAGAGCGCCCAAGAACAGCCTGCGGGGAGACTCAGCGGGAGGCTAGATCTCATGATCCTGCTGGCTGATAAGGCAGAAATCCAACAGGGACTCAGTCTGAGAGACGGGGGAGGAACATTGGCCTCACTGAAGCCCAATCCCTTGGAAGACCATTTTCCTGCAGCCATGGGACCTGCACCGGGTGGCCACTTCTGGCCAGGAATGGCTCACGTCCTCCCTTTTGGCTTGAGTGGGCAAGGCAGGGCAGAGCTTTCCATCAAGGCTTGAGGCCTGAGGAAACCCTGTTGAATTGACACCCCCCCAAACCCATTTCTTGCCCCTCCCCCTCTTTTGCCCTCCAGAGATCCTTGACGACGGCCCTCATGCCAGAACAGAAGACCATGACGGACCCCAAAGCCTCAGGCAGCCGGCAGCCCTTCCTGGGGCCCCTCTCGGCTCTCCCCTTCCTCCTGGCGGCCGTGGTCTGAGGCCTGAGGAAACCCTGTTGAATTGACACCCCCCCAAACCCATTTCTTGCCCCTCCCCCTCTTTTGCCCTCCAGAGATCCTTGACGACGGCCCTCATGCCAGAACAGAAGACCATGACGGACCCCAAAGCCTCAGGCAGCCGGCAGCCCTTCCTGGGGCCCCTCTCGGCTCTCCCCTTCCTCCTGGCGGCCGTGGTCTTAT